TGAAGAGCGGCACCAATTCCATATTCGGATGCGTCTGAAAAGATGGCCCACTCGGCCAGATGATTGATTCGGCTGTTGGAATTTGATCGACTGTACAGTCACGCTTCTGTTTGTGCCTGAGGTGCATATTCGAATGAGTCGTTGATTTTTGAGATCGACGAGGATGCCGTAGTGTGAGAGTAAGTCGGCGCCAATGTTTGGATTGGAGACATCTGCCAGTATGAAGCGCCATGTTAGCGCTCTGCGAAAGCCGATGTTTAAAACGATTGTTACGACACCGTAAGTATTAACGGGTGTTCCGTTAACTGCGACGAGTTGGTAACCGGTCGCCATCTTCGTATTTGTTGCTCGTCTGTGGGGGTAAACTGAAACTTCGGAACCTGTGTCCACTAGAAACTGCGTGTGTAAGTGGCGGTCCGTGATGAAGAGGCGGTACGATGGTGGAAGAGAGGCGCTTTCCGCCGCTAACGTCTCTCCGGTTCGTTTCCCGCTTGTTTGCAACCAGGTGTGCATTTTTGAGCCAGGTTGCCAAACTTTTTGTGGTACCAGCAGGTGTTGCTGGTTGACAAGGCAGGAGAAACCGATCTCCTTCTGTTGATATTATGTGAACGAAAACGTTTTCGTCCAGTGGTTTGATGGGTGTCCAAAATCTTCTGAAGATATTTCATAATGTTAGCGAGTTGCTGCTCTACGTCTGTAGTATTGGTGCCTTGAATTTTTGTGAGCGATGTTGCTGCTATGTGATGCTCTTGAGAAGGCCTAAGAACGTCGTGTAAACGATTCGCGGCTTCGCTTAATGTTTGTAGCTCGGCCGTGCGTTGTATAACCAAGCATGCTCGCATTTGGTCGGGGAGATGTGAGAGCCACCTTGCTTTTAACACTTCCTCGTCTATGTCTGAAACTAGATTTCGAAGATGTCGAAGATGTTGGGAGGGGTTCTGTCGCCGAGACACTCACCGTCCAGAAGTTGTAGGATTTTTGCTTCTCTCGACTTTGAGTAGCAAGCAATTAGTGCGGTCTTTAAACGTTGATATGGCTTATCAGTTGGAGGATTTAAAATAATGTCCTCAGCATCGGCAGCTATGCGTGTGTCAATCAACGGGATTGTGTGGTGAGATTTGTCCACTTCGTTCGTGACGTTGTGATTACGAAACTGTGATTCTAGTTGTGCGAACCAGAGGGTTGGCCTGTCTTGGTTGAAGTTTGGAACACGTATTGTCGCAGGGCTGGAATTGTTTCCCAGGAATATGGAAGCTTTCGGTGGGCGTGGTGTGTCATCGTCGGCAGGCATTTCGGATAATTTTTAATTAATAAATATAGAAAATAACGAATAATAGTTACGAAATGTTTGCACTGATAATGCAAAACGCTGCCAGATGATGGTTAGGTGGTGTGACTTTAGCGTGATGTCACCTCCAGTAGTGTGGCCGTTATTGGTAACGGGGTGCTTGCTGTAAATTCCACCGTTGATCCCAGATGACCGCTAAAGTCCAAGTCGGGGTCACCAATTGTGGTATCTTGGTTTATTTAATACACGTCTGGACGACGTGATAGCCAAAATCCAACTGACATGCTTAGCTTAGGATTTAATATCTTATATGCGTATTTAGGTAACGGTGATCAGCATCAAGTGATGATGCTCTCAATATGTAATGCATTATTATGATAGCTTAATTATTGTATGTAAGAGAGATAGCAGTAGTGTAACTCTTAGGATAACAATGTAAAGTAGAATGTAAGATAACTTAACCCTTAGTTGTACTAATATAAATTAACGCCACATATATAACCCTATATCTAACTCGCTTAGTTTTAGGTGATACAAACAACCGTTAGGTGAACAAAACTATTATACTCTCTAGCCACATGTTGCGAGAGTATAACAAATACAAAAGAAACATATGCATGCAATACCTACCCTACAACCCTATTTTTCAAAAGGCTTTGAAATGGAAAATTACTTATTTTGTTTTTTTTTTGTTTATGATTGTCAGCTTATTTATATTATATCTCATATAATATTTACTTTAGTAATATTTTTAATAATAAATTAATATATATTAATCTGCTCATATCATATATAATACATTCACATATGTCTACGATTAAATTAACTATATTGCGCTTGTTAAAGCGAGGTAGTAATTGTGTAGTGTTTTAAATATAAAACTTGATTCCTACTAGACTCAGAACTTGTCAACATTTCAACAGTAAATTCCACTGAATGACGTAGGCTACAATATAGGCGCATGAATCTATATTTATAATACAACTTTAAGTTTTCATTGTACACTTTCTGGTTTAAACTTCCAAAACTTCTTATACCTTGCTTCAGTATATTCCATAAATGTTTAAGAATTTAATTATTTTTATTAGCTTTTTATATAATATATTATATATTATGTTTTGAAAAATAAAAACTCCCCAAAAAAATACCCTAAAAGAATTCATCCCCCAAAAGTTTCCCACTACTTGAAAAAAAGCCTAAATTCAGGGGCAAATCCCCCAGGTTGGCATCACTGGCATTGACTCTTTTTGTGTTAAAAAAATAAATAAATACCGAGGGAGTTTTCAAATATAATATACGTAGGTTATTATTAAGTTTTATTTATGAACTGGAGAAACACATACAGCAGAGTTTGTGAGAGGAGCAAGCGTAGAAACAAGTGAAAATTTCTTTTTATAATTTATTATTTAATTATATTTTTGTTACACTCTTTTTTATATTTATGTATATTATTATAACTAATTTTAATTAAAAGTTTTGAATTTATTAAAGAAATAAAAATTATATTATCTACTGCGCAAAAGAACTTTTTACTTGTGATAGACTTACAGTCATAACTATCAATTTGCAGCTATGATAGCGTTTCAGTCGTCACTGACAATTTTCAGCTATGATGGATTTATGGTCAGACTCAGAAAAAGACATGAGAGTGAGGAGTATAGATATATAGTGAATTAATTCCGAATATCCATGTGTTAAAGAGAGATGCAAACTCACACACATATGTTTGTTTACATCAGTTTTTGCACAAGGCTCTTAAGAAACTGATAGAAACTTTGTTTTGCGCGCTGACAAAATTTTTTCAACTGTTACTATGACTGTGTGATTGTGACCAGTCAGATGAATGTCACTGTTCTTGTAGGGCATGAATTCAACATTTAACAATACAAACATACATTAGTATTTAGCTAGTTTAAGAACTTGCATATAAACAAACATGCACATGCATTGAGTTGTACAGGCTAAATACCGAGAAGTGATTTTATCACCTCTTTAAACTCTGTGAAAATAGGTCGGATAACAAACACGCTCACTCCTCATATAACGGTTATGTTGAAAACTACTAAAAGTACTATAACTCTCTGAATAAATGAGGCACAAGCATTAAATTTCACAACTAGGATGGTAGAGAAGGGCTTTATAGGACCTTTTGGTGAAATCCTATATCTCAAGAAGTACTCTATCGATTTCAACCAAGTTTGGTGTGTGAGATTACACAAACATTCCTATTAGACACTGGGCGAAATCGGATGACAAACAAGCTTAATTCTCATGTAACAAACGTTTAAATTCCATCTTATTCTTTTACTTTACAATATACAAATCAAACATCAATAAAGTTATCAGAAGAAAACTTTGCATAAATAGGTATTTCATCTTACGTCCAAAAATGCTCGAAACCGTACTATAACTTTTGTTAAAAATAAGTAGAAGCAGGTCAACACTTCCCTTAGCCACCATATACCTAACATACTTGTAAGTATATTCGAACCTCGGGTTAACTTTATAAATTCAGAAAGAATCTTTTTCTAATAGCAGCGTATCCTCTTTCCTTAAACAAATGAAATCACGGCGATACTTTCCTTAGTATTACATAAAGTTTTGTCAAAACCTTGTGTATATCCGCCTTGGTTCCTTGCAAGTTGCAGGAGTAGAAATTGTTCGGTTGCACCTAAACTTAGTGCTTCCTTACTTATTTTCCTAAAATATTATTCTTTTTACCCATAATATTATTCGATTAGTCGTTCTATGATCGTAGCATAGCACAGTAGTTTCGCTTGTATGGGCCATAAATACTTTTAGCTGAGATATCGTTTTGGACATTTTAGAGACAATTTGTTTACTTTTTCGCTTTTTTTTACTCATGATTGTTTTTCTTTTTTACCTATGGGCGAAACCACTGTGCAATGGTCGGATTTCGCCCATGTGCAATATCAAACTCCTCAGAGTGCCGTACACGTGCACCAAGTTTTATTATCATATCTCAATTTAGCCTTCGCTTAATTGTAACTTATTTTTACATTTAAACAAAATGTAATGGAATTCGTACTTATGTAAATGAAAGTACTTGAAGTACAGTTGTTTTATCTAGGGCATGCGTTCATACATACATATGTAGGTGTCAATAATAAGAGCTCTTAGAACAAATAGTTACTCTTATCTCTCTACGTGTATATTGCTGCGTCTGATTGTGAAGCTATCTTGGACAGTAAACATTACTTATAAAAGCCCGACACAATTTGTTTTGAAGGAAAATAAGAGGAATGATTGTGCCATGGAATAAGTACGATTTAAAGTAGTGCTAAAATTACATGAGAGGCTTTGCCAAATTCAACAAGATTAGATACTCTAAAGCTTTTGTAGTTATACCTTTGAGAGTTTACTACTAACTAGCCAATACGTGAGAAAAACCAAACAAATTCAAAAGCTCTATAATCAGCAGTCAAACATTTCTTTACAGAGCAAAATTAGGTGTCTATGAACATTTCTCACAACAGGCGGTTTCATGTTACCACGATTTAAACCGACAAAAGTTTTTATTTCAGCAAACTACTTGGAAGCGCAAGTTGAATAGGACATACTTCACATATCAACTTTAGCATATTTATTATTTAAAGAATGATAATTAAAAAAGTTAGAGACAATGTCATGTTTGTTTGGTTCCGCTAGAGCCGTACCCTTTCTCATTACTTGTATTTAAAAATAGCTTATCTTCAGACAATGAGCAACTTATTTTATATTTAAGCTTGTTACCAACAGCTCGTATCTCTTGAAATTGAAGTGAATTTTTTACTGTTATGGTACTGTTTTACTGTTTTTTTATACACCATCAAAAATACCAGAGCGTTTAACGAACTTTAATTTTGGGTTTAGGTTAATTTATATTTTTCCAGAATTTGTTAAAAAAAAAGGTAACTACAGGCATACATTCCTGACAAAGAGTTTTTTCTTTTCATTTCTTCTTATTATAAAAATAAGTACTAAGTTTTTTTCCATTTCTCGCTATTATAAACAAAGTTTGAAAACGTGAAATTGTATTTTAAGTGATCAAAATATAAAGATTTTTAGATATATACAAATTTAAACAGTATTCAATTTTAGTGTAATTTTATTACATATTATTTTGTAGTTAAGTGCATATTAAAAACTAATAAGTTATTATTTCTCTTGGAAGGGATCTTTTTGAATATATTTTGTAAGATTCTTATCGCCATCTACTTCCACTTTTGACAATTCAGAAAAGCCTTCCTCGTCGACAAAACATATTTCGTGTCCGTCGGGATCAGCTAAAATGATAACACGCACGGTTGCCTTTCCCGGTGTGTCAAGCGTAAGCAGAGGAGTCAATATGGTGCCGTTCGCTTGCTGAATAATCGCATTAATTGCAGGTTGAACATTTAACGGTACTGCAAATGCAATGCGACCATATGCTTTAGCCCGATTGATAGGATCGGTTAATTGCTTCAAAGTTAAACGTGTTTGATTTTCGCCGTATGATAGTGTTATTACATTAGAATCTTCTACCTCCACTTCCATTTTTAATAATTCATGCCAATACGTTTTAGATGCTGCCAAATTGCTTGAGTGTAGGATGACGCTCATTACAGGATCAGATGCTTGAGGTTGAGGCTCTTCAATTATATAGAATTTATAGCCGTCAGGCGATGTTAATACATGTAAACCTTTCTCCTCCGAAATGGGGTAGTTTTGGGACCGCGCTCGTTCAATTGTCTCCTTGGACTTAATGGTTATACCACCGAAGTCATTACCTTCAAATACATTTTTTAATATATATATATATTGTAAAAAAAAATGTTATTTTATAAAATAAAAAACTGAATATAAATTACTAGATAAATATAAGAAATAATACGATACGCTTGAAACTTGTACACGAATTATATACAAGCAAGCTACATATTACATATATTACTACAAGCTAGACAATTATCTGCTTTAAACTACGTTGTATTTATTGAATGTATTTACCCAATTCGTATTCTTTTACACCATAGTTGTAAGTGAGTTCAATTACGAAATGAGAAGATTCCGGTCCATAGCCAATCATAGATTTGCTCCAACGGTTGTCGTAAGGTCTATATAAATGTTAATACAGATATACATAATATTAACGATATATAATTTATAAATACTAAATGCCATTCTCACCCATTACATTGCGCTTCACAACCTTCTTTGAATTCCTCATGTCGAAGCACCTTTAAAAAAAAATTGCATCAAAATAATGAAAAACATACTATAGTAAAACAACTTTTAGTACCTTCATACCAAGTATATCTCGGAAGAAATATGCATTTTTTCCACGATTTCCAATCTTGAGCACATAGTGAAGCGCGCGACCCGGGATTTCAACGTTCGTCATATCGATTTCAAAAGAATAATAACGTTTAAGTGAAATAAAACGCGTTACACGATTATATATCCGCAGCGAACGGCGTCCCAAACTGATTGACAGCGATAAAGTGCAACTCATCGACACTTGGAAAGATTATATATGTATATCTAATAGTCTTATTAATTGACTAATCAAAAAGAAACAGGTTTTATTAAGTGAAGTACAATAACAACGCGATGCCGTGACGTTTTAATTTATATTTATCAAGAAATGCAAAGCAAAATAATCTAATATTTTCTACTCTATCAGCTGATCAATAAATATTACAGAGCTGCCACTCTCGTATTTTTGATATCATGATATGAATGAATTCTCCACTCCACTCGCCTTTCTTGACATACAGAGAATGTAGATTATACAGAGAATGTAGATTATAGAGAAGGTTCACAGTGCGGCCATTATCAAAATATTTCACTTTTCGCAGGGGAACTGAAAACGATGAGCGTGTTTCACCATATTTGGGAGGGGTACTGAAAACGATGAGAGTGTTTCACCAAATGTCCACAATTAACATCAGGGGACTGAAAAATAGCAGATAATAGCTAGACAATATCATGCAACTGCTGGTTGTTAGAGTGTTGCCCAATATTTTGCTTTTCTTCGCCTCAAAAACCTTTTATGTGAACAAACTCGTACAATAGCATACATCAATGAATGAATTTGTGAATGCAAACAATGATTTACAAAATTTGGTTAGAATACCGGTTAAATGCCCAACAGCGCTACCAGAGAACGTAAATGAATAGAGAAGGAGCAAATGTTAGCTGTACTAAAATGTTAATTACGATGAGGAAACATCGAAAACGCGCAAGTTCGAAACAAAATGTCACCACACCTTTCAGGGTACGCAACGAACTACACCACTCTATAAGCAAAATGTTCTTTGGTATGCGCATAAACAAAAATTTAAATAATAAAAACGAAAGAAATTGACTTCTGACAGGAAAATATTAATAATGAGGGAAATAATATGAAAATAAAATTCAAATATCATTTCATAAAAAAGAGTTATAAAAATAAAAAATAGTATATAAAAATATATGTTTTAAGTTCTCTGATACAACAGCACCACAGACCATATCCGAACCACTTTGTCTAATCTGTGAACTCAAATAACTATTGTTGTTAATTGCTTTAAATGTTCATATGTCCATATGTGAAAATTCTTGAAATTGCCTTCCTTTATTCGCATGTTCAAATATATTTGAATACTAGGCGCCCTCCGCTACGCTCCGGGACGCTCGCTTCGCTCGCTCGCCTACGTCCGCCCCCCGCCGAGAGCGAGCTAGCTCGCTCTTATGTTAGTTGATTCTCGACAGCAGCAGAAAACTTTTATATATAATAGAGAGATATGTACACATATGTATATCCCTCAATATGTCTTTCGCAAAAAATCAAACGCAAGTGCCACAAAAACGTAGACGCACCATCATCGGCTAATAATATTCAAGCAAACTCGCGGCTTATTATACTCTCGCAACCTGTTGCTACAGAGTATAATAATTTTGTTCACCTAACGGTTGTTTGTATCACATAAAACTAATCGAGTTAAATATAGGGTTATATATATATAAATGATCAGGATGAAGAGACGAGTTGAAATCCGGGTGACTGTCTGTCCGTCCGTGCAAGCTGTAACTTGAGTAAAAATTGAGATATCTTTATGAAACTTGGTAGACATGTTTATTGGTACCGTGAGACGGTTGGTATTGCAGATGGGCGTAATCGGATCACTACCACGCCCACAAAACGCCATTAATCAAAAACAAATAAATTGCCATAACTAAGATCCGCAATAAGATACAAGACTGTTATTTGGTACACAGGATCACATTAGGGAGGGGCATCTGCAGGCGTGGTCCCGCCTCTAATAGGTTTAATGTGCATATCTCCTAAACCGCTAATGCTATAATAACAAAATTCACTAAAAGCAAATGTTTTTAGCACTTCTATTGACGGTGTGAAAATAGTTGAAATCGGATGGCAAGTCCGCTTACTCCCCATATAACGGTACTGCTAAAAACTGCTAAAAGCGCGATAAATCAAGCACTAAACACGCCAGAGACATTAAATTTTATCTCTGGGATGGTATGAGATGACTTTATAGGAACCGCGTTCAAAATTAGACAGTGGGCGTGGCACAGCCCACTTTTAGGTGAAAACCCATATCTTGAGATCTGCTTAACCAATTTCAACAAAATTCGATACATAACATTCTTCTCATATTTCTATGTTATATTGCGAAAATGGGCGAAATCAGATTACAACCACGCCTATTTCCCATATAACACCATTTTCAATTCCATCTGATTCTTTCACTTTTCATTATGCATATCAAGCAACAATGATTATATCGGGGTAAAACTTTGCGTGAATAATACGTTTAAAGTATGCCACCTTGTGACCAAAAATTGTCTAAACCGAACCGAAACTGTTCAAGCCCCTAAGTACTAAATATGTGGACCCCAGTGCCTATAGTCCTACTATTCTATAGACCTTCTACCGAATATATCAGTCAATCCACCAAGAAATCTCAAACGAGTGTACCATTTGACTTTGCGAAAGTATAAAATGTTCGGTTACATCCGAACTTAGCCCTTCCTTACTTGTTTTCTAAGTATTTCATATTACAACGACAACAAATTCATTTATAAACAACGTGCGTCTGCTTCAAAGCAAAGTGCGTTAATTCATAACTCTGCGCCGCGCTATTTTTTCTGTACGACTGATAAACCACATTTGGTTTTCATATAGAATTCCTACCGCAAATGCGCGAAAATAAAAATGAATGAAATTGAATTTGAATGTCTTCAGTAAAATTTCAATTTTACAATTTGTATCACTGAAAATCCTACCATCCCCCTCGCGTTTGTATGTTGCCCACAAGCTGCTTCCTCATAACATTTGCTAAAAATCAGAAATTGAAGAATTCGTCTGATGTTCCCTTCAGAAAGGAGAATTGACCTATTAGCGAGTTAAAATAATATAATACAATTTCAGTGGATTTAGCCGTCGGCCACCCTTCAAAAAAATTATATGAAGGGTTAAAATTTCGTGAAAACAGCATATTCCCAAATTCAACCCTGGTCGGTCAAAAACCGGGGTGTTCATAATTCAATCGCATCAAACTCCTTTCTGCACTGGCGGCCTTCGGCCCCGCTTCAAAAAAATAACCCTGGTCGGTCCAAAACCGGGGTGTTCATAATTCAATCGCGTCAAAATCCTTTTCGCTGCTGTTTGTACATACATAAATTATTGAAAAAATTCACTTTCCGCTCACGGATTTGTAATCTACATTACTTTTTTTAAGGGGTGACCGACGGGTAATTCCTTCGAATTCATAAAAAGGACACTTAATTGTGTCACCCCTTACAACCCCAACCCCCTACGAAGTGGGGGTCATTAAGTACATATTTACCCCATAATTATTTCAGATATATATATTAATTATCGAATTTAGTCTAAAAACGATTATAGGTATGAATATATGTGTATTTATATATATATACCTATAATATATTTTATATTACGAAAATAATTCATAAATGCATCAGTATTTTTCAATACAAATTAAGCAACATATTAATATATTATGAGCCCTCACTTGACACGCCTCTGTGTATGGTGGCAAGCCAACGAAATAACGGCGAGTTCGCGCAGACATTGTGTTGTTGAAAGTAACCAAATGACGATTTTGTCGACAAACATACATATACACATATGAGCTCGCATACATATTGACGCCGAATTTTGCGCATCGTGGCGGAGTTGACAAAATTTGTTTCAATCGACAATTTTACGACAATGTCGGTCGGCTATGTTGTTCGTTTGTCCTTTTTGCAGTGGTTTGCTATTGAAAGTTGACTTATGCTCTTTTGAAATATTGTGATTACCAATTGGGCTGCATTTTCATAGCGTCGTATTTAGATAAAATGGGCTAAATCGACAAACTATGAAATAATGATAATAAGTAAACATATAAAAGTACTATATGGACTGTGCTTAGAATATATAGAAGTAGTTAATGATTTCATATACATGTCAATTTTATATAATTTTTTTAATTTAATGCCATAAATAGTGCATAATATGAAAAAAATTAAAATATTATTTTAACTCGCTAATAGGTCATGTTGCCAATTCTCTTTTCTGAAGTGAACATCAGACAAATTCTTCAATTTCTGATTTTTAGAAAATGTTGTGAGGAAGCAGCTTGTGGGCAACATACAAATGCGAGGGGGACGGTAGGATTTTCAGTGACACAAATTGTAAAATTTAAATTTTGCTGATTCTTCAATTTTACTGAAGACATTCAAATTCAATTTCATTCATTTTTATTTTCGCGCATTTGCCGTAGGAATTCTATATGAAAACCAAATGTGGTTTACCAGTCGTACAGAAAAAATAGCGCGGCGCAGAGTTATGAACGAACGCACTTTGCTTTGAAGCAGCGCACGTTCCTTATGAATGAATTTGTTGTCGTTGTTATATGAAATACTTAGAAAATAAGCCGCGAGTTCGATTGAATATTATTGGCCGATGATGCTGTCTACGGTTTTTTGTCACTTGCGCGAATGTTTGATTTTTTGCGAAAGACATTTTGAGGGACATACATATGTACATATATGCAAATATTATATATTTGGAAATGCGAATAAAAGAAGGCAATTGCAAGAATATTCACATATGGACATGTGAACATTTGAAGCAAGTAAACAACAATAGCTGTTTGAGTTCATAGCAGACTTGTTTATTGCAACGTGAAATATTTTGCCTAAGTTCAAATCTATCATATTTTTATATAGTCTTTTTTATTTTTATAACCCTTGTTTATTAAATGATATTTGAATTCTATTTTAATATTATTTCCCTCATTATTTATATTTTCCTGTCGGAAGTCAATTACTTTCGTTTTTATTATTTCAATTTTTGTTTATGCGCATATCAAAGAACATCTGTGCATATGTATGTGTATACAGTTTGCTTATATAGTGGTGTATTTCGTTTCGTACCCTGATAGTGTGGTGAAATTTTATTTTCGAACTTGCGCGTTTTCGATGTTCCTTCATCGTAATTAACATTTTAGAACAGCTAACATTTGCTCCTTCTCTATTCATTAACATTCTCTGTTAACATCTCTGATATTACTACTCTTTGCCGACAGGTGGCGCAAACATAATATCTAAGATTTCCGTTTTAGCGCTTTCTAGTGTGGACTAGTTGCGTCAGAGACCTAAGCTACCACAAAAGTGGAAACGCGACCGCTTAGCCACCTTTTTAATGTTATCATTTGCTCAATAAGTAATTACTCACTCAACGCACATACATAAGTTGGAAAAATTGCCTATTAAAGGTTTATTTTATTATAAACTCTGGGGTTTTTACCGGCAATACAGATTTTTAATTCAGAAGGCTTTTCACAATTATAAATTTTGCCATATCATATAAATTGAAAACATAAATCTAAATAGGTATGCGCAACGACTTTTCATTAGGAATATTCCTTGTGTCTATTTATAGCATTTCGCACAATGTGGTGTATTTTTCTTTTTCGAAGTTATATTTTTCGATGTTCCCTCATCTGCAATTACAAATTAGTACACAAAAAGATTTGATTTAACATTTGCGAATTCTCTATTCATTAACATTCTCTGCTACGGGTCGTATTGCAAATTTACAAATAAAAGATGAATGTCAAAAAATTTCCGTTTTAATAACACAATAAATTATTATGAATAAAAATATAGTCTTGCTAATTGTAGTACACTGAATTGAATTCAAATATAAAAACCATTTCATAAGACTTATTTTGTATCAGTAAATGTAAGTAATAATTTTTTAGTATGGCAACATCTCAGCGACGGCAAAACCAACGGAGCTAATAACCAAAGTAGTGCATGACAGTGCCTGTCTCTTTTTGTTAGGCCAGCAACAATATGCCTTCCACTGATCGAGTATTTAAATATACGTTCCATACACATGTATACAAATTGATCAACGTACAAAGGAGAAATTTGGTTTTATTTCGAGCGCGGCGTATATGCAAACAGTGTAAACAGTTTGTTGTTGTCTAGTTTGTATTATTACAACAAGTGCAGTTTTCTACGGAATTAAATTGTATATTATCCTCATAAGGTTAATTTGAAGTTATTAATGTGTAAATATCACATAATTTAAAACCGACGATATATGATTTTGTTAAAAATTAAGTAAAAGTGGAAGTATTACAAAAGTCAGTTCGATGAAAAATAAGTGCGGAAAAAAATATGAATGTGCAATTAAGTGCTTTTATGTGAAATTAGGAAAGTGGTAATGGTGGTATGTACTTTAAAATCGTCGAAAATTCAAAGATGCAATAAAAGTGTTGAAATAGTGAGTGTTGAAACGTATGTTTAAAAAAAAAAGGATTTGTTGACAACATAAACGCGACATATTTGCACAAACACATGATTCTTGCATTAAGATTGTTAACCAGCGGACTTTTTTCAGTTGAGGTAATTACCATATATTTATATATGTATGTATGTACATAGTATATAAAAAAAAAAATGCTGTAGGTCAAAAGTCGTAAGCGGCATTCTACTTCTGTAAGCATAACATAAATAGGAGCAGAGGCTTGACCAAATAAATGCATACGTACATACATAACATCATTACTTTTACTATTTTTACTATTACTGGTATCTGTGTGTATCATGTAATACAATAGTTTTAATGTTGTTATATTTCGGCAATCGTTTGAGCGAGGTACGAACAATATACGTACATACATACGTAACAACTTTAATACGTTGACCTTTCATACCACACCTGGATTCTGTTACATTCGCATATATGTACATATGTATGTTTGTAATTTTACATATAGTTTATACTTCTCACGCATCTTTAAATCTTGAGCTAATTATTTAAACATAGGTTTATGAACATACGCTTATTTATACACGCATAAGTATGTATGTGTATAGGCAGCTTCATGACGAAACATTCATATGCATGAGTTTTACGTCAACGTTCAGGTATAAAATAACCATGCGTGTAAAGTGGAATACAATAAGAGCAACTCACTGTTGCAACTTCTCTCATTCTCAGTTTGCGTACCTGTTTTCTCTTGCGAAATGCAGTTGGCTTCGTCTTTCAGTTTGCTTTAACAATGACACTCCGTCAGAAGCAGTGAGCACAAATGTGTGTATGTTTTGGCTTAAAATGATTGAAAATGCATTATATTATTTTGTTTTCAGTCTTCATTTTCTTTTTGATGAAATTTGTACTTAGCTGTCATTTTACACGGCACCAACAGCTGTAGACTTACAATGGGCAAAATTATGCTCCCACATTATGACGCATACATATGTACTTACATACATGCGTTCATAATATGTATGCGTATTATGCACATTGTGTGAACCCAGTGAATCAAAACGGTGCCTAACAAAATCAACAATTACGGTATAAGGCATTAGTGTTGGTTCCCATTTATACAATCAAAACTAGGAAAATGCGTCTTCTTAGAGTATTACACAAAAAAAATACAATGTTTATTACCTGAAATTTCTTAAATTAAATGAATGAACATATCTAGTCCTGTTGACAAAAAATAAATATTCGAAACATGAACTGTTATTAGCAGATATTTTAGAGTTTTAACCGAAAAAGTAGAATTAATAGTACTTCGGTTAGATTCAGATAGCTAATAAGATGTCGTTACCGTAATTGATTTACGGAGCATGTGAACGTATGTACAATATATAATTGTATAATTTAAATTTTATAACCCCTCGATGATTTTGTTGTTATCTGCTATAATTATCTATTTTACATTAATTCACTAAATATGTATTAAAAAAGACTGTAGCATTTTGAAAAGTGTCGTCATATGATGTACTATTTTACCCTCGTGAAATTATGTGATAATAGATTTGAAACCGATGGTGTCCCTTTTCGAAAATATTAACTGCTTTCTGTTTTTTCTAAAATTTTTTTAATAGGTAACCTTTCTTTTTATAATCTCAAGAAGTTGTAGAATTTTGTAATTACATAAATTAATATTTCCTTAGCTTTAAACATGCATACTCGTACATACCCATTATAATCAGGAATAATTAATTAATTGGAATTAATGAAGAATATTGCCATTGACACCTACGTTAGTGATAGTTGATAGTAGTAGATGTTTAACTACCGGCAAATAAAGCTGTTGAATGTCAACACTGAAATATGGATGTGCATACTTGTATGTAAATATACCATAGATTCATAGTATGATAAAGGCTCACATGTTTGACTATAACAGGTAGTGTAAGCACCGTTTGATTATCGAGCACTGTAAATAAAAGCGCTGACGTTTCAGCCCACTCCCTACAAAAGCGATGAGAAAGTGGGTTATAATTGCATGGAAACACATCAGTAACATAGTAGAGAGAGAATGTAGCTGCGGAAGTGATAAGTGAGCATTGGTTGTCATTCAAGTTTCTTCTTTGCCAAACGTTCAACTCAGGACCAACCAAGATAATTTGCTGCCATTTTTTGTAATCAAAAGGGAGAACAAAAAAATATTACATCTAAAGTTTTTTTTTGTTAAAAATATAATAGAATTGGAAAAGTGATACATTGCAGCAATCTTACCAATAAATGACAGCCTGAAACCTGATTTGAATCGGGGTTAAGAAAAAATGCTTACACTATATGTGGATTTTTTATTAAAAACGATCTAACCCCACAAACCAAATCGGATCAAGTGCCTCACACCTTTAATCACTTTTTGTGTAACATAGTCCATAGGTCTACTTTACTTTCTACTTTGAATTTTCTTTCATAAATAGCCCGATTTGGGATTTATACCCATCCAAATATTAATGTTGTAGATATCTATAAATTAAATTAGTGCTAAAAGGCTTTACTTGATCTTAGGTGTTAATGTTTTCATACAAAATCATCTCAGTTATCAGGAGAAATGTTATGGAGTAAGTTTGAAACAACGCCAACCCCAGTATAATAGGTATCATTTAACGGGGTTAAGATGTATGTATTTAAATAAAAACCTTTGAAAATAGTGAACTTTTTAGACTCAGTTTAAAGTGAAGGACTTCCGTGTTGCTTTGACATTTTTTCTTCAAATTAGCATTTTGAATGAAAGTTACAGTGATTCTGTGATGTCTCAATTTTTCTACATAGTTTGAAAAATGATAAGTTCTGTATGCGCAGTTGTGTATGTTATTGATTTTATATGGATCAACGAAACGGGGCAACGGCAGAAATAATTTTCCTTTTAGTGCAATCATTACAGTAAACAAATTTGATTAGGAGTTAATCAAATTACAAATAATAAATATATACTTATACATATGTAAATGCACGTACGCGAACAGCGGTACATATTTTTTCTATTTTAAATATTACGTATCTACTTGTAGGTGTCATGAAAACCTGGTATTTGTTTTTTTCACAAAAAAAATTTTATGACAAAAATAAAAAAAATAAAAACAAATTATGATATTAACAAAATACATTTACTTCGGGGCTTCCTAAACGAAAGGAAAATTTTGGAGAAACACATAAGCGGTGATTGAGCGATTTGAATGACGAAAGGCTCGCTTTGAAAGTACTTGCCAAAACAAAAAATTGAAACCCCGAAGCTATTATTTGGAAAAAACGTTTTCGCAGAGCATTAATTAAACAATGATTTTTGAAAATTATGAAAAATCGTAACGCAACTGGTTTGGATCACTAGAGGAAGATTTGCTAGTAATATATGTACAAGTATAATACATCTAAAATGTCTACTTTTCCAGAGTCAGTAGACAGTTCCTCGATCACATATATCCCCAAAGGCCCAGCACACTTATGAATTCCAGGAACTTGCTAGGCGCTATTGAGGTGTTGTCGTCCTTATCCACATAAATGAATCCAAGGGTCTTGAGCCTCAGTAGTCGATCAAGTGTGGAATCACTCCAATCAGCCTTACTTTTACTCTTCGTAACGCCGTCTCTTAGAAGAAAGACCAGTGGTGTATCTTCACATAAGGCCGTCCTAAGCCGAAACTATCCTCCCTTTTCCATACCCCTCTACTGCCATAAGTAGCATGGTTGACAGAGGCTCAGACGCAGACAAGTCTTTGCAGCTTTGATAGTTGAAGTCTTACCGAAGTCTGCGATGCCTTCGATGACCAAGCAACCGTTCCCATACGTAACGATACGACACCTTATGATGCTGGGCTTACAGCAACAGGATTTATCGGCTAGGCGTCTGCATACCATGAGTGCTTTTGTAGCCTTAGACAGTGTTATTTCCACATGCCTATTCTACCGTAAGGTGAAGTCAAATGTGAGGCCTAAGTATTTAACCTCCTTAAACACCTCTGTCACCAAAGGTTAGAGTCGTCAAGCCCGGAAGAGAACTTATTTTTGTGAAAGGGTAATCGATACAAATCGCCAAGTGGTGATGGCCGAAAAGTAAAATGATCTTATTGGATATAAAAAGATTAAACATATCGAGCCAACCGTTAGGCTTTTTATTTCGAGTTTCGATAATAGGACTTGTTGAACATAATTTCGAAAAATCTCTGCGCTTGCTTAATATATGAACATATTATACTTGTATTATATATATTTATATACTAACATCGTATCTTTGTAAAATTTGTAACGCCCCTCCTGTTTTAATCAAAGTTGCTGCAGCTGTTTGTGTAAAAAGTAAATTGTGCATTTCCAAAAGTAAATACTGCCACCAGTAACAAATAAATAAATGTACTTTCAAAAGCTACATAAATACATACATACGTACATATGTCAATATGTAATTATATGCTGAAGCCTCGGTATCTGTCATTTCGCTTTCAGCCACTTGAACACCGGCTTACTGCATAGAACATCTCTTCGTTGCTGGCACAGCAGCTGATATGTAAAGTCATGTACTGCACATACATATGTATGTACCTATATACATATCTATCTGCATGTATAGAACAAATAAACGTGTGCGTTAATATATACATCAATACACGTTCATATATTTGTGGAAAACATAAACTGCACCTTTCCATTGTGGCCTCCACTATGCCCCATGTCACATGTACTATTTGGTAAATATGGATCACATTCACCCGCGTAGTGTTTGCGTTCACCATTTGGTTTGGTTTGTTTATCAAGTGGTCTATTTATTTACTGCAACGCGCCTCAATTTGCGGCTCAGCACGATCAAGTTGGATTTGGTCTTTATTCTCCGTATTTCATTCTTATTCAACTTGATTTTTAGGGTTATAATTATGAATGCTTTGTTGTTTATTTTTTTGGTTTACGCAACGATAAGCCAATTCAATGTGAAAGTTTTTATTTTCATTTAGCTGTGGTTTAGAACTTTTAGATGGCGTAAAAACGTTCTTTACTCTCTTTGTTGGATTTTTACTGGTTAACTTTATTGTTGATTTTGAATTTCACATTATTTTTATTTTATGGCGGCAATATAGCTTACTACATATTCTACTTAGCGAGTTGGA